TATGTTTGTTTGTTTCTGCTTCCTGTCCACTCAAAGCCCAGCTGGTCGAGGCTACCTGTTAAAAGGGAGTTTTTCTTTTCCACTGTTGCCTTTGCTCTGGATGGGAGACTGTGAAGAAGTAAAGATTCAACGCAATCCTCTGGCTTCCTGAGATAAACTTTTATTAATTGGCTTTTATAATATATGTGAATGTTTTTGTGCAGTGCCCTGAAACGTTGGTTACGTACTGTAACCCCAGATTCTATGAGTATAAGGGTAGCCCTTTAAGGCCTTCGCTTTAGTGGTTTATCCCGTTATGCAGAGCATAAGCACTGAAAAAAAAATTAGTCCACGCCCACCTGCTGTGTGGGCCCCACCCGGTCCGTATAAATTACGTTAAGAGCGGGAAATCGGCTCCCAAAATAGCTTTTTCTTCAGCCATTTAGGAGCCAGTGAGGCCCGACGCTTAAAGGGCTACGCTTATACTCATAGAATCTGGGGTTACAGTACGTAACCAACGTTCTATGTCGTATAAGCTTCGCCCTTTAAGGCCTTCGCTTTAGTGGGTAAAGGGCGAAGCCGATGTGGTCCTCGCCTCACTGGGTCCATTCGAACACAGTAAGAAGCGGAAGCTTGCCCAAAAAACGTCTTGTCACCCAGCTCCCCGTGTGCATAAACTACGCATCGCGTAATTATGTGCCATGCACAGACGCATGTTGTGTAACTATGCGTTCTGACAAGCATGAATACCCCGGAAAAACTTTCAACGGGAAGAGGAAGTTGAAAAGAGGGAGGGAGGGGGGCATGAACCAACTGGATCATGGCTGAACAGTATAAACAGATTAATGTCCATGAATTGATAAATAATCAAATGAACTGATTGGTAACAATAATCATGAACTGATTAGTGATAATAGAACCAGAACACAGACACAACTGTGACTGATAACAACATCTCACACTGTAATGCATGCAGACAGAAGTGAGCTTAAACAGAGTTCCATGAGAACAACAATATTCATTCTGTTAGAGCACTAAGGACAGAATGTGTCATGGAACGAACCGTTACATCACGTAGGTAAAAGCGAATAAATGAGCAGGGTGTTGACCATGCAGCCGCAGTGCAAATGTCCTGCATTGACATACCATTATGCAGAGCAATCGAAGATGCAATACCCCTGGTGGAGTGTGCTTAGAGGTTGACAGGAGGCCCTAAATCTGATGCTCTGTAGGCTTCAGAAAAGGCCTCACACAGCCAGTGTGACAAGCGCTGGATGGATAACGGCGACCTGCAGAAGCATCTCTATAATGCACAAACAATTGTTGAATTTGAACGCATTGCAGCTGTGCGCGTTACGTAACACGTCAACGCCTGCACCGGGCAGAGAAGATGAACAGATGCTTCCCCTTCTGATCTGTGGGAGGGAAAAAACCCCTCCAACGATATCACTCTTGATTTAAAAGAGCTCGTGATGTTTTAGGCATAAAAGCTGGGTTGGTCTTAAATCAGCTGAGCTGCCCGTCAGCCTAATTCTAAGGCATGACGAAGCAACAGAGAGGGCAGATAATTACTTATCCTCTTAGCGGGTGTTAAAACCAGCAACAGGGCTGTTAAAAGAGACAAGAATTTAAATGAAACCTGATCCAGAAGCTCAATTGAAGCTTTGATCAGGGCTCGCAGAACCAGCGTTAAACCCACTGTGGAAACAAGTGGGCGTGAAAACAGGCCTACATCTCTGTACACCTTTTAGAAACCGCTTCATCAGCGGGTGATAAAAGCTGTTCTATCTCCAAACCCTTTGTGGCAGGAAGAGATGGCTGCAATCGTACGTTAAAGCGTACTGAAAGCCAACTCCCTATCCATCAGCTGTTGTAGAAAAACAACACGCCGCCTAAAAGGCATGAAGTGGTCTCTAAACCTTCTCTGTGCACCAGCGCTGAAAAGCCGTCGCCTTGATGTGTACAGAACTGTGGTAGATGCAGCACGTGAATCTTGAATTGTGCACACTATCTCCTGAGGGAGACCCATCCTCTAAGTGGAACCGCTCAGCGGTCAGACCCACCGGTGTTGACCTATTTCTGGGTAACTCTTGGTCGCTCCTCCTGTCTGAAGGAGAGCATCCTTCCTCCATGACAGTTCCACGGCGACCCAACAACGGACGTTGCAGGCCTGGGAACCATAGTGCGTTCACACGCCGGGAGCCACCAGGAGAGCTGTCAATCCCTCCTCTTGAACTCGGTTCATGGACCGTAAAAAAACAGAGGAGGTGGGGGAAAAGAAACGCGTAAAAAGCGTTTTGGGCCACCGACTGTGAGCAAATGCGTCCCCCCCCAGCGATGGATCGTCTCGCGGGCTCAGGGAAAACCGTAGTTGACATTGAGCGTTCTTCTCGCATCGCAAACAGGTCCACAGCTGCTTTGCCAACTTCTGCTGCGTCTGAAAACATCAGATCCGGATGGAGGATCCGGTCCACGTAACGTGGGCCGCCCTTGGACGTCACATCAGAACATCGGATATGTAAACCGCTCTAATAAAAGCAGGTTTTGATGAACCCAACTCAGTAGCTTTCGCACAATGTGTAACATCTGGGCTGAACGCACACCCTGATGGTTATGTACGCAGCAGTCATCATGATGTCTGTGTGAAT